CAATAGAACTAAATTGTACGTAAATATATAAAAATATGCATCTTATTTTTTTTTGTTTCCATTTTGTTTTAAAACCAGAGAGGGTATATTTCCCGTTAGCCGACATGGGGAAGTAAAACTTGAAAACTTTCAATTTATTACGTTAAAAATGGAAACCTAAGCGCACGCAGATATTGAGACAAAAAGTTATGTACATAAAAAAAGGCTCGTATTCAATGATACATACGGCATTTCTGTTTACCTCTTCATCCTCTCTTCAGTCTCTTGTCGTCGACATTCACTGTCGTCAGTAGTGACGCGAGTCGCGACAGTCTGGCTACGGCGAACCGCTCAGGCATTGTCGGATTTATTATATTTTTATACTTTTGTTGTCTTCTTGTTCTGTACAGGATAGTGCCAAATAAAAAAACAATCACCTTTTTACCTTGTGGAGACGAATGACGGTCGTCGAGGCAAACCATCAATCATCACATGGGATGCAGAACGCCACTTTGGTTTCTTGGCGGTCATGGTGAATGTTGTGTTCCTATTTGTGCTGGGTACAATCGGCTTGCAAATATCCTTCGATGGCAAATGGTACCGAACTGCCATATGGTGCTGAGCTCCTATCTGTATTTTGCAATTACCATTAATTCTTTTCTATTCTCGGGACAATTCGTCGCTAGGCGCACCAATACGAGTGCTTGCTTTCATCCAACGTCTTCAACAGAGTGCACTGGTTCACATTATTGCGTGATACAGATCTGCTGTTTGCGGCATTACGCCTAACATCCCAAAATCTCCAGCTTGGTGCGAGATATCCTATCTTTCAAACAAACATGTTTTTGATAGGCTGCGAATGTAGGCGAATATTTCGTAGCAGCGGTATCTACTGCAATATATCTGGTTCTACGAATTAAGAAATGGTTCCAAATTCCATTTTTGTTGTACTTGATGATTCCATTTATCTTTGCTCGTTATTTGAATACTTGACACATACGGCTGTGTTTGTCATATCCTACAGCTCTATGTGATTTAAAGAACACACCTCCATACCCTGGGGTTGAGACATTGAACCTGCATGTATATCTTGTCGGATGGCCTTGGCGTCTGCATGGATCTAATCTGTCCTCTTACGAGCAACGTAACACCTGCGTTCGTGTTGTTGTCATGCTCAATCTATATTCCAAAATCTACCTGGTCACGGCTCAATAGTACCTAACCATCAAGTCGGTGTATATCTGAGCTGCATTCGCAGGGTGGTGGTCCTGTTCATAGTCCGAAGGCGTTCTATTTATAGCTCATTCAACGCGCGCGACGCCCACTTCGTCGGCGCGGCTCGTCGTCTTCGGCGTCTGACTCCGGAGCCGACTGTGGAAATTGCATGAGTGTTCAGAGTATTAGTATGATCGAGTTTAGGGTTTAGGGTTTATGATTTAGTAGTTGTGTTTTCTGTTCAAGGTTGTTTTATCGTTTACTACGCTGATACATATGATATTGAGCATGCATTGGCCCCTTGGAGACAAGGAAGGAGGATAAATTCTCTCACCCCTCCGGTTATATGTTTTTATATCAGTCTCCTGACGGTTAATAGAATTTTAATAAAAATATCATTTTCTAAGGGTTAGGTTCCGCAGTCGCCACTCGTCGGTAAGATTTCACTCGCTGCAAGAAAGAATACTATTAGTATATGCAGTTGTAATTTGGGGGAGGGTGTTCAGGAATGTACTATAGCGCTACGCATACGATACAGTATGTGCGTGCATGTGTCGGTATATGGGTCGAGGGAGGAACTGGCTACTCATCATAAGATGCTATGAAGCCGATACTTGAATGCAGGTATTCTGCCCCGGATATTGCTCACGCTCTTAGGACACAGCCATATAGCAGTGGAATAGCTACGGTTGATGACAATGTTCCATAATGTTTTCTATTCTGTGTGATGCGCCAACAAGTTTCAGATATTCTAACCAAAGAAACTGCATAGTCAATCAATGAAAGTGTGTAGTTGGGATAGGGACGTGTATAGAAAGATTATGTGATACATGGCATCAGATCATAGATTTTCGACTGCAGAACGTTGTGAACCAGCACATTACTATATACACACGCTTCACAAAGTATTGTAGAGCAATCACCCACGTACATCCTCACGATGTTGTTGCTGTCGTTGTGAGCGGTCGTCCTCTTCGTGCTGCTGCCGCTGTCCGTGCTCCCCGTTTTGTCCATTGATGGATTTACGAGACCTTTTCTGCCCCACTGTCTGCCCATTGTTTTCGCGTTCTAAACAAGAAATGCACCGCAAGACAGGTGAATTGGACTGGAGAATATACAACAACTTCGAAGCGCAGTCAAGCGGTGGTGATATCTAACACAGATAGAAGACCATGAGCAGGATTGGTTAGCAGCCAACACAATAAATAATATTGGTATATATTTGGTATATTTCTCAGTAAACTTCTCCCTTGTCCACTCTAACAAGGTATATTTGTAGTTGGGAAACTAGCGAATCGCTACGAGAAATGAATATGGATAAGCAAGCCTGGAACTCGTTTTGTGTACGTAAGATATCTGTCGCGACTACACTACTCATCACAGTAAGAACTCGAACAATGTCATTCTCCAATATCTACACCCAACATTCATGTTCCTCTCCTTGATAGTCTACGCATTTATAATTGTCAATTATGCCTTGATTATTGATATATAAATATATATACACATACATACATACATATATATATATATATATATATATATATATATATATATATATATTATAATAAACAAAATTAAACATATGAGCTGTAATGATAGCGATTCAATATTTCAAGTCTACTTACAGAACGTTCTACCTCGATTGACATATCGTGATCATCACTCAACCAAATATCACGGACTGCGAACATACCCTTGTAGATTCCAGCCCTATTTTGCTTGTACTGTTTGGGCCACGTGGCTTTGCATTTGAAACACCTGGTTTCGGTACCTCCCTTTGCCGCCGAGAAGTTCGCCACGCAGTATGGGTGTGCCCGAACACGGCAGGAGAGATTAGAACAGTTGGCGCCCTGTACAGCCAGATAGGGAGATATACGGGATATACTTGCTTAGGTATAGTTGTTTGTGTGTGGATAGACACTGATGTATGTGTATAGTACACCATTTTATTGTCGTGTGTATGTGCAGAAGTCAGTGCATGTACACGAGTTTGATGCTGGCTTATATATAAATCTATAAGTATAGTTCGATCGTGCAATATAATAAATATATATATATATATATATATATACTTACAACTTGATCGTTCATTGACATA